TCCCAAAGAGAACTGGACCATGGGCCTTGGGCTCGCTGTAGGCCGAGGTGTTCAAATCTGCTATACCCCAGCATGCCACTGGATGGCGGTAAAACTCCAGCCTTCAACCCTCGGGCACCTAGAGCCTCTCAAAAACCAGACCTCTAAAGCTGCTTTCCCGAGAAGTGCACGCCGCAGAGCTGTGAGGCGAACACGTTCAATTTCACTTATGAGCTCTTCGCTTTCCCCCTTCCACCCTCTTTCAAGAATTTGCTCTCGATCTCCGATGACAGCTGCTTTGTCCTTTGTCGTAGTTTCGTGAACTTCCTCAAGGTATTTCCGGCCCTTTTATAAGTGGATCTGGCCTCCTTACAGACCACAGCCTCATCTGCGGTCCTAATTACGGTCAGCTAGCATTTATGCGGTGAGGACATCGGCTCCTGTCCAGGAAAAAGGTGCCAAAGCAAAGAGCCGAGCCCGGCCCTGCAGCTGCAGCCGTGAAGTCACTTCCTGCTGCGCAGCCTGCGCTTCCTCCACTTCTAGATGTCTCCACGGCCCAGCATGGAGTTATGCCCTGCTGTCTTTCCCAAAGCTGCCTTCTTCCTTCTGTTGCTGCCCAGCTCTGCAGATTTGCTGATGTCCCACCTCCGACCGGAAACGTGGAATGGGAGGTGACTTCTTCAGAAGAGTCTGCCTTGAGCTGTCTGCTGAGACCCAGGCTCCAGGAATCAGCTTCCAGGTTGCAGACTGCTGCCTTCGGGACCTCTGTGGGCCAGCCTGTGGCTGTTTTCTGGAATCCCTTCTAACCGGGGAAAGACAGTGCCCTTCCTGGCTTCCGAGTACAGAAACGGGAGGCAGCTGTACGTGCCCAGCCCTGGGTATTTCTGCAGCCCCGAGACTTGCACATCATCTGGAGGATGCAGAACCTCTCAAGAAAACCTGTACAGGGGCTGGTGAGATGGCCCAGTGGTCTAAAGCACCTACTTAGAACAAGCTTAGCAAAGCACAGGGACCGCGGTTCAATCCCCCAGCACCACATGCCAGCCAGCCCCGCCCCCTGGTGGGCTGAGCTGGCCACACACACACACACACACACACACGTAAATAAATAAATTTTTTTTTTTAAAAAAATAAGAAAACCTGTACAGCTTTCTTGATCCTTCAGAGTGGAACACTCCAGTGCTTCAAACCCGGTAGTCTGAGGAGGTGGCAAAGATCTTCCCCTTGGTTCCTCTGTAGCTGCCCCTTACGGCAGCCTTTGTTTTATAGGAAACTCAGGTCCAATGGAGTTAATACATCCAGATCCAGATGTATGATTCTCTGATTTTTTTGCTGTCAATATTTGTATGCCAGACACTTTTCCTAAAGAGGTATTTGAATAAGGAATCCTGGGGTTCAATCCCCAGCACCACATGCCGCACCAGCCCTGCCCCCGCGCACACTGAGCTAGCCACCCAGCCCCTGCGTGGTGGTGCGTGCCAGTAATTCCAGAGTTGGGGAGGCTGAAAACAGGAGGATCGCTAGGAGTACAAGCTGCATAGGGAGACCTTGTACCAAATACATAAAAAAGAAAGAAAAAAAGAATCCGTAAGCTAGCCATGACATATTATAAACATTGCTCTCATTTTTCTCTGCCCCCAAAGGACCCTTCCTTATTCTCCTCTGTCTGTCTTCTCCCTGCATGTAAGTGGCAATTCTGTAAAGCTACTACCTTCCTCTAAGGAAGAATCATTCTGGATCAATGTGTGTGTGTGTGTGCCTGTGCATGCGTGTGTGCATGAGTGTGTGCATGCGTGTGTATGTGTGTGGTGCTGGGGTCCGAACTCAGGGTCTTGTGCGTGCTATGTGAGTATCCTACCATCAAGCTATGTCCTCAGCCCTAGAAAAAGTATGTTTGATTTTAGTATTTGTGAGCAAGACATCAAAAGGCAGGAATAATGGTCACTGAGTTAGGGGGCATCACAAGTCAACCCTCCGCTAGTTGAATGTCTCTAGTGGTATCAGTAGGACTGTACCTTTGGGTGTGTTTATTTTTTTTAAATTATTTTTTATTTTTATTTATTTTTATTTTTGGCCGTACCGGGGATCAAACTCAGGACTTTGCATTTGGCAAGCAGCCGCTTATGCCGCTGAGCTATATCCCCGGCCCCTGGGTGTGTTTAGATAACACATTTATCACACATTTGGATATAAACACTCATTTATCATATTTTGGATAGGAACAAAGTTAGGAAAGATGGAGTAATAAAACCAGAACATAAGTGCATTGCCGTATGCTAGAATGATGATACCAAACCAAGAATTTAGCTTAATAGCTGTAAATGTACTCATGCCCTCCAAATAGTTCTCTAAGTATAGGCTGGGAAGACTTGGTTTGACAGTAGCTTTTCTGCAAAAGACCAGGTAGTTTTAGATGTCTGTGAGGCTGACAAGAACCCGTGATGAGGTGTGGCCCGGAAAAGCCAGGGCAGTCACATGCAGCTCCAACCAACAGGGAAGCCTAGGTCAGGGCATGCGCTGTTCCCACTGAATCGAGGCATGAACATTATGCTACATCAGAATATTAAAGCCATTTCTGTGCATCTCATCATCGAGGAGGAGCATTTAACAGAAGAACTATTTAAAAACTATATGATCAGGCCTGTGAGATAGCTCAGGGGACTAAGCGCCTGCTTAGGCAAGCGCAGGGACTGGGGTTTGATCCCTGACAACACATGCTGAGCAGTAAGGTGAGACCCTGTACCAAATACGTAAATTAAAAAATAAAACAATAAAAACTGTGTGATTGGGCTGGACAGATAGCTCAGCAGATTAAAATGCCTGCTTAGGCAGATGCGCAGGGACTGGGGTTTGATCCCTGGCATGCTGTCCTGGCCCTGCCCCTGGGGCATGCTGAGACGTCAACTGAGGCTGGTGTGGTGGCTCATGCCTGTAATCTCAGCACTTGGGAGGCTGAAAACAGGAAAATCACTATGAGTCCTACCTGTACACAGGTGGTAAGACCCTGTACTAAATGCATTAAGAAACAAAAAAAGCAAAAACCAAAACACGGTGATCTACAGAGTGGTTGATGTTAACCCAGAGCGAAAGTGCTGGAAGGTACACGTCAGCATTGCTGGAGGTACGTGTCGTTGCTGCAGCTGACATTTCCTGTGTGTCTGTTCTGTGGCAGGCTCTGCTTTCGGTGCCTTCAATGTATAATACAACCGAATACACAGAAAAACCATGAGTTATTATTATCGCATCCCCCTCTTATTTAGCACCTGCAGACGCTGAAGAACAAGGAGGCTAAGTAGTGCCGGAGGTGACAGCTGCCGAGAGGCAGGGCCCGATTCAAAGCAGTGGGCTGACCCCAGAGCTCGCGTTCATGGCAACGTGCCGCTCTCCGCTGTCTTTAGTAATCACAGGAAGCACGTGCCTTTTCGGCTGGCAACGTTAGTGCTTCTTTCTTGCTAGGGATGTTCAAGCTCAGGGGCGCCGTGCTGGAGAACATGTGGTAGATGCTCTGCCTACAGCAAGGCTGGACCGGATAGGCTTTTGGGTTTTTTGTTTGTTGGTTTGTTTTTTGAGACAGGGTCTCACTCCGTAGTCTGGGCTAGCCTTGAACTCACAGCCATTCTCCTGCCTCAGCCTCCCGAGTGCTGGGATTACAGGCCTATGCCACTGTGCTCAACCATAAAATCCAATACTTTTTTTCTATTTCTGGAACAGGAAATTGAACTCAGGATGTCTCTCTTGCCAGGCAGGCGCCATGCTGCTGAGCTATGTCCCGGTTCAGACAAGGTTTAAGGAGCCTCATAATTATTAGAGTTTGGGACTTTTACCTGCCAGGTGGTTATTCTTAGTTTCTTCTTCTTCTTCTTCTTCTTCTTCTTCTTCTTCTTCTTCTTCTTCTTCTTCTTCTTCTTCTTCTTCTTCTTCTTCTCCTTCTCCTTCTCC